GTACCTTTTTTTTGACCAACTAATGGCAGTATAAGACTGTTTGAACCGAAGGATGGATAGTGAGGGAGCGAGCAGCGTGTCTCTTTAAGAATATGGGAGGGAGGCCCCTTGATGTGACATGGACTGTCTCTCTTCGGTTCTCAAAATGGCGGACACTCGGTGTGGTTTGAGCTATTAAGCATTTTCCACACAAAGCTTTTAATAAAACATCAGTAAACAAGTTCTCAACTTCTTTTATCAGAGAAAAACAACTTTTTACATGAAGGCACAGGTTTTAACTGTGAATTTTGGAGCTTTGACAAGATGGAGGTTTTTCTCCCGAGGTCGGCCTGTTAGCTTAGCTTTTCGATTTAGCTGTTTTTAACAATCCAAAAACATGATTTTGGATCGTTAAAACAGATTTCAAAGAGAAAGGGAGGGGTCAGTGAAGAACACCGGAGACAAGCCTTTTGTCATCCAGTGTCTTCAGTAGAAAGAGACACGAAGAAACCATAAAGCCGATAAATGAAACTGAGGTCGATCATTTTCATTTATCATGCGATTCATTGATTTATTCTTTATCTTGACAGGCCTACGTCCAATAATTACTTTCCAAAAGGTTTTGTTAAAATTCATCAAGTGGGCCATGAGATATTTTGCTAACAGACAACACGGACAACACCAATTTCTTTTCCAGGTCTAAATACATTGTTTTTGGTGCGAATGATCTAAAAACAACATTTTGACGATGAATACTTACTTTCATGGCTGTCCTTTGAACTCCTGAGTGACCCATAGGAGTGTTCAGAGCTGTAGCAGGAAATAAAAATAACGAGTTCTGTTTAAACAGTTGTCTGTCCACCATTAGAAACTCAAGAAAGTGGGTCAACATGTGAAAAAACACATCTGAAGACAAAGACCTGAAGTTGCTCATGAGTACTGGTGGTTTTACCTAATGAAAGGCAAAGGCTTCTGTGCAGCAGGATTAACCACGGTGAAGTCCTTCTTTTGTTTAGTGGCCATGTGCTTCTGTAAATTGATCACCTGGACCTTCATGGTTGGCCTGCGTTGGCGCCCACTTGTGCGGACGTTTACTGGAAGGATGATGTCTTTGTCTCGTTCAGCAGCAGGACCTCCTGGCTCAGAGGGGGGCTCGTTGCTCTGACACTCTCTCGGTGGATTCACTACTTGGACGAGGCAGTCGGGTTCAGCAGGGTCCACATCAGCCTCATTGATGTCGTCCACGGGTTTTAAAAGTTCGGGTGTCTTTCCGGAGCTCTCTGTGGATATTTCACCATCATCAGTGTGCGTTTTAAGGTGCTTGGCAAAGCTCAGCTCTAAGCTGAATCTCTTGTTGCATTGATGGCACGTGAACACACTGTCGTCCACGTGTGTGTGTTTGTGTCTGTCGAGGGACTGCCTGAAGGAGAAGCAGCGGCCGCAGTCACTGCAGCGGTGGGGGCGCTCTCCGGTGTGAATGACTCTGTGAGCCAGCAGCGAAGAGGCAAACTTAAATTTCTTCCCACAGTCTGGGCAGTCATGCGGTCCCGCGACAATAGTCTCTTCCCCTGCCCCCTCGTCATTGTTCTTTTCTTCAGAAAACGTACAGAGAGAATCTTCAGGATGTGTACCTGCATTTACTCCTGCAAAGCAGTTTCGTGCGTCACCCACTTCAACCTCTGCATCATCAGAAACTGTAATGATCTCCACAACGTTATCATCCACCACCATTACAGTCCATGTGTCGTCACCGAGCCCTGATGGTGCAGCCGACTGGTCAGGCTGTTCAGTCATCGTTGCAACTTTCTGAGAGGACAAGGCAGAAAGTGAGGAGAGGATGCTGCCGCCCACGCTGGCAGGTGGAACTACAGGCAAAGAGCAAGCAGCATAGATTAGTCAACATTACGACAAACGAGTCTACAGAACGTGACCTACCATGTTGCTCTAAATGTCCGAGCCCCCTGTGGTGCTGTAGGAGATGTTTTAGGTCCGTGGGCTCTGCGACTGTCTGGACACAGTCCTCCAACAGAGCGTGCTCAGCTCCAAGCCAAGAAACAGTCTGAGGCAAACGTTTGACACAAAAGAAAGACTTTAATTTGAAAAGCAGCACAGGAAACTGCCGTCACTCAAAAACCCTTAGGTGAAAGCTGTAATATCTGTAAAAATACACGATTTTTAATTAAAAACAAGATAACTACACATCATTTACAACCAAAGGTTTGCTGTATAATTGATAATAAATGAGGAAAATCAGCAGTCATGTTTTGTTGCCAACAATTTCGAGTTGTTTTTATTTACATTTAATCATTGATATTGTCAGACAGTCTTGGTGTTTTACAGACATTACGTCGGTAAAATAATCCCTGATGTAAACAGAGTTAAAGGGATAACAGAACCAGAAACTCCTGGTCGAAACATAAAACGTTCTCTCTTCTGAAAACAAACGGCGACTAAAAGCTTTAAAGACGAGTCGACAGAAGCCAAGTCATTTTGAAGAAACTTGGGAGTGTTAAAGCAAAAGTAGTGGGCAAGACCATGTCCAAATGAACTCCCTTTTCACCCCAACAGACTGAACCAACGTCCTCATTACTATGAACAAGAACCCAGACTATCAATCAATATTTGTGTTGTCATTTTATGCATCTATGAAAAGACTGCTGAACTAAATGTTTTATGGTTAACTTTATGTGAACAAACAGAACTGAATTATTGGCGTCACTTTGAGAGCTGACTCACAGAATAAACACTCTGTGTACTCCTAATATGATCATATTATTCCTGTGGGAATTTATTGTTAGAACTGGACACCAGTGGTGGACACAGTGAATTAACAGTTAGCAAAGCTAAGTTTTTGATTAGCTAAGTAAAAAAATAGTTTTGGTAATGCTAAATAGATAAAAGGAATTAGCAGAAGCTAACGCTAAAGCGCTAACTTTTATCATACGCTACAACCACCAACACTGTAAGACTGTCTGTAATGTGACAACACTGTAAGACTGTCTGTAATGTGACAACACTGTAAGACTGTCTGTAATGTGACAACACTGTAAGTGAACACAACTCAAAATGGTTCATTAATCACAAGTGAAGTGTCCATGTCCTGTTCAGAGTTGTGCTTTCAGTAATGATCCGGTCCATTAGGACCAAAGAGGCGGAGCAGAACTCTGCTGTGCTGAAGCAGTGTGATGCATTCAATGCGTGTCGGACGTCTCCCTTGTGTCATTTACTATAATGAATTAATTCATTTTGGCAATCATCTTTGTGGTGAACTACTTTTATAAACTAACTACAAAGTTGCTGTGTTTCATCAGTATTCTCTCAGTAACAAATCTGTTCGTATTAAAATAAAGACGTGTGAAATGTGTGAGAGAGTCACGTCCCAGAGACTAAGTGTTGCAAAGTAGAGCTGTCATTTCTAACTGGAACCCGGCCCAACCCGGATTAGGGCCGGGACGGGCCATAATAACATGCTTAACGTGCAGGCCAGGCCGGTGTCGGGCTTTTTATTGGGTCAGTGGACGTGCGCGGCTGAAGGTCCAATTATATGGCAACATGGCTTGCCATACTTCACCAGCCGCACGTGGCCATTTGACCGCGCGCTGATCCACCTTGAAAGAGGTAAAAAAAAACAAGTTCAGGTAAGTTTCAGATGCTGCACTTAGTGGACGCGCACGGTCGACGGCCCAAACAGGTGAGATCCCAAAATATCGTGCAGACATGTCAGAGCAGGGTCCGTGTATGAATAATGCTGAATGCAGGCAGAAGCAGGGATTTAATGCGCTTTGACAGCCATGAAAGGACAAACACCCCCTCAGCTCCGATCTTCTGCCCCTCAGCCGTGCGTGTCCGCCGACCGTTAATAACTGTATAAGCAGTCAAAGCATGCGGGTAGGAATTACGTGTGCAATGTTTCCAACTGTTTACGATGTTTCTCAGTGTTAAAATGTGTTTTTCATGTTAGTTTTTTTGTTCTGGTTTGGTTTATTTATGCTAAAATCTCCATAATTGTCTGTAAACTGACACCAAGAGTCAGAGACTGTTTGCGGTAGATATGAGAGGGGAAAGCACTGCGAGGGTGGTGACATCACCGGATGATGCTTAGCTTTGCTCAACTCCGTATAGCATAGCATCGCTCTGTTATAATCACCATTGTCCTGTATGATTTTAGTGCGGAGAGCTGTCTTTAAAAAAAAATAAATAAATAGCAGACTTGAATTTACCGGATTCAAATTTAGCGGGAGCCAATTCTGCTTAAGGTTTTCAAATTTAGCAAAAACGCTTGGAAAGTTAGCTCTGCTATTAGCAGATTAGTGGAACCGTGCCCACCACTGCTGGACAACAATTATTCATCTAATATTGTTCATGTCACACTGATGTGAATTTAAGAGGAGCTGATAAAACTTTGTGAACGCAGAGAAGGAATTCAGGCTATTCGTCATGTTCACAGCACTGTCCTATGGAGGTTTGTTGTATTGACATTAGCTCGGAGAGTTTTACATTAAACACTATGTGCACATTAGGGAGAGTTCCTATTTTATAGTGTAGCCCTTACGAGTTAGGTCTAACTTTAAATGTTTACCAATTACTTCATTGAGCGTCTTGATTCCCCTTTAAATCCCCTCACGTGTCTTTCATGGTACCCCTCACCTGCTCCAGGTCAGGTACTGGCAACAGCTGAGCCAGTCGACAGAGAAACTCTGAAAACAGCGTCTGCAGGTCGCTGTCGTACTGTGGGCCGTACTCTGCAGGGAACACGTCCTTTGAATCAAGCAAACTGATTAATACAATAATACAAACCCAACGGCAAAGTTTAAAGGCATTTTGTGGCTCCTGACTCAGTCTGATAAAACCTCGATGAGACATAAGGAGCTGGACTGTTTGGTTGATTTCTCATGTGTTTCACTTTATATAAAGCATATAAAGCCCCACATCATGGAACCCAACTCTATATTGAATGCAGTTTAAAAGAGAAACAGATGTTCTACAGAGGAGCTGCCTCACCTTGAAAAAGTCTTGTTTTGTTTCTGGATCCTTGAGCAAATCGTGAATCAACACAACGAAGTTCCCTACCACCTCCTCATCCGACTCTCTCAGCTGAATAAAGGGGATCAAACCATCATTGTAATGATTATTTTACTAACTAAGCATTAATACGATTTAAGGAGGAGCAACTACCAGGATGAGGTTTGGTGACTGAATCTTGTCCAAATAGGAGAGGATCTTCTCGGGTTCTACAGGCTGCTCACTTCGGCATAACTCCAGGATGTACTGGGGAAAACAATCACCAAAATAAATAAATTTAACGTATCAAACATTACATATCGTCTCATCTGCTACTCACCCGAGCTCTTAGCCCCAAGATTAGCGGAGCCCTGTGCTTCAGCAACTCCGGGACCAAGTCCACCACCAACGAGACAAACTCCGCCACCTTCCAGTAGCTCATCACATCTTGTTTTTTTAACACGTGCCACATGGAGGCTGACAGGAGCTGGAAAGGAGGGACCAGGAGGCGCAGTGATGCTAAAGGCAAGAAATCACCTGGAAGGCAGAAAAAGATTTAGGCTTAAATGAATTTTTAAAACACCACATCATCCAAGTCTGCAAAGAGTTTTATCAGTACAGGATCGGTTTCTGTTGAAAAATAATTATAGATCTGGGGCTAATTTGGTCAAACTTTGAAAATAATGTTATGCAAAGTCTTATGCAACAATGCAGTCAAACTCAGAGTATGTGTCATGGCTGTTTCCACTGACTTCAAGTAAGTTGTAAATAATTTAAACAAAAGACCTTTCACAATCTTAACACTCTGATCATGTGTTGTGAAGAACCCTCAGCTACTACCACACCAAGTTTCAGGTCAAAATCTGTAAAACTAACTTGAGTTAGAGACATTTTTGTGCTTTAAAAGCCAGTTGGCTGTGGCAGCCATCTTGAATCACGTTGTAGTTCGTTGTGGATGAGCATCATAGGACTTCCTGAAAGATTCATTGAAATGCATCCACTGGTTCACGAGATATTTTACTGACAGGCAAAAAATAACTGTCCACATTCGCCTTTCAACATGACACATAACAGGAAATAACAGAAAAACAATCAAATGTAGCTTTTTTTTTTTTATAGCTTGGACCTTGTATTTCTTAAAAATTAACTCAAAATTTTAATCGTGTATATATTTACTTTCCATTTTCAAATCGACTCTTTTGGTATTAGGACATACTCGTTTTAGTTTAGACTGGAGTACATGTTAAAAATATTTAAATAACTGTTAATAAAAGCCTCTTTGTCCCTCACTGGTTTGCGCAGCTAGCTGCACAGACACGTATTCATAAACGTTTATTAATCGTGTTTATGAACGCCTACGTGTCTTGAATGCAGCCCCACTGCGCATGCTCAGAAGCATCAATGTTAGCTAAACTGCTTGCAGCGATGCTCGCTGAGAAGAGTTTAAGTTTCTCCATGAAGCACAAACACACCATGTTACGATTAACAAAGGCCATTTACTAAACTAGTGTTAAAAACAAACAAGCAAGCGCAGATAATTAGTGTTTTGTTAACCCGGTCCGTGTTGTTTCGATTAGCCCACCAACCTTTGGAAACAGCTGACTCCATTTTCTCGTGTTGAAAACTTCCCGCAGCTCGTGTCGGTGTCCTCCCTCCAAACAAACCACTGACTCTAAACAGCCCCGTCTGACTCAAACAGCTGACTGATCTCTTCAAAACAAGTCAAGCAGTAAATAGAACTAGTTAACCATTTCAACACATACATTACGCGAGTGATTTGTCTTTTTTAGCGAACACTGTGACGTCAGAGAATTCTTCTTTGGTGGTTTTGTTTGTGCCGTGCGTTTTAGCGCCACCTGCTGGTCATTCTATGTATCGCACATGTAAAAATTAATGTAAACGCGTCAAAATTAATTAAAAAATAACTGTGTCTTGATGGACTTGCGACCTGTCCAGGCGCCTCACGCACAGCAATAGCTGGATATGGGCACCAGTGACCCCTGCGGTCCGCAAAGGAAGAAGCTGTAACGATAATGGATGGATGGATGGATAAAACTACAGAAATGTCATTTCCAGTGAAAATGCAGTGTGAGTGCTTGTTGCTGAATGATTTCTGCTGAAAGCCGAAGTCAAACCAGGCTGAACAGGTTTCATCGCTCAGCCATTAATATCTGATGAATTTGAACAGCTGACATTTGCTGAAAGCAGGAAAACAAAAAGCTAGAGTGTAGAAAAAGCCAAGAAATGAGTAGAATACGCTGAAATAGAAAAAGAAAGGCTGAATAGATTACAAAAATATCAATAAAAAGAAACTGATATGAGCATGAAACTATAATTAACGAAAGTGAGGCTGAAAATAGCAGAAAGAGGCTGAAAGGAGCATAAAAAGTTGAAACATTTGAAAGAAGCACAAAAGGTAGAAATTAGGGGGAAAAAGCAGAAAATATTATAAAAATTAACATAGAAATACCTCAAAAGAAGCCAATGGTGCACAAAAAGCTAAAATGCGCAGAAAGAAGCTGAAAAAAGCTGAAAAAAGCTGAACCAGAACAAAAGCTTAAAAAGTTTTAAACAGCTTGAAGGGTTTGAAAGATATAGAGAGCTCCATTCATTTTCTATGAGAAAAACATGGCAAGATTTCAAAAAGTAAAAAAAAAAAAAAAAAGTACAAGAACCAAAAGTCAGAGGAACCTCCTGAATGAGCTGTTTTTTTTTTTTTTTTTTATGTAAATTGTTGAAATAGAACAAAAAATTGTGGAACGAGTTAAAATAAACAAGTGGACATCTGTTCTGTCACTGAAGACGTTTGGGTTCCATTCTGTGAAGCTCCTTCAGTTTAAAGCTGGAGCGTGCAGCTCCGAGGATAAACTGCATGAGACAATATCAAAAATAGATAAAGGCAGATCATCTCCACTCCCACTGGAGCTATTAGAGCTTAAGATGGACGTTTTGGTCACATTCATGAGACGTTGATTGGAGGAGACTTGACTGGATTCTACACTTAATGCTCCAAACTAAATTTTAGAAAGTTTCTCCTGTTTCAAGTTGTTTTCTTCCCATAGGACTGAAACGTCTCCCACACAGAACATTCCTGGCTGCAGACACCACACCACTGGGTTTGTCTGGGGGTTTGGTCCTCAGCCTCTGTCTGAAGGTCCTGCTAGGTTTGAAATGCTGAACTGGATGTTGTGTTTGGAGACAATCTTTTTGTTCCTCAGAAACTCCAGCAACTTGTTTTTGTGTTTGTTCTTCCCTGTTCTGTGTTTTCCAGATTTCCTTGCTGACTTGATAAAAGCCCATTTAGAATATCCCTATAACTGGATAGTTTTTCTAGTTTTCATCTTTTTCTATCCTTTCTGTCCTCTGGACATGTTCAGCTCTATGGTGTGGAGTTCTAATGACAGGAAGTTTGTCTTCCAGTGTGCGGTGAGAGTCAGACAGAACATACTGATGAGTTGGTTTCCTTGAGACTTCATGTCTTTCCATCTCAAACAATCTAAAGAAGACATTTTGTTCTAGTGCGCATCCTCTCTGGTGAACTTCATGTTGCTGTCCACAGAGTTGACATATCTGAACACTTTGGCTTATCGTCCACACACCTGAACCAGTGGCTTAGTGTTGTTCCCTTGGAGGAGTCCATGGCTCCTTTTCCTCATTCTACAGGTCCTTCTCAAAAAATTAGCATATTGTGATAAAGGTCATTATTTTCCATAATGTAATTATAAAAATTAAACTTTCATATATTTCAGATTCATTGCACACCAACTGAAATATTTCAGGTCTTTAATTGTTTTAATACTGATGATTATGGCATACAGCTCATGAAAATCCAAAATGCCTGTCCCAAAAAATTAGCATATTTCATCCCTCCAATGAAAGACAAGTGTTTTTAATACAAAAAACACCAACCTTCAAATAATCATGTTCAGTTATGCACTCAATACTTGGTCGGGAATCCTTTTGCATGAATGACTGCTTCAATGCGGCGTGGCATGGAGGCAACCAGCCTGTGGCACTGCTGAGGTGTTATGGAGGCCCAGGATGCTTCGATAGCGGCCTTAAGCTCATCCAGAGTGTTGGGTCTTGTGTCTCTCAACTTTCTCTTCACAATATCCCACAGGTTCTCTATGGGGTTCAGGTCAGGAGAGTTGGCAGGCCAATTGAGCACAGTAATACCATGGTCAGTAAACCATTTACCAGTGGTTTTGGCACTGTGAGCAGGTGCCAGGTCGTGCTGAAAAATGAAATCTTCATCTCCATAAAGCTTTTCAGCAGATGGAAGCATGAAGTGCTCCAAAATCTCCTGATAGCTAGCTGCATTGACCCTGCCCTTGATAAAACTCAGTGGACCAACACCAGCAGCTGACATGGCAACCCAGACCATCACTGATTGTGGGTGCTTCACACTGGACTTCTGGCATTTTGGCATTTCCTTCTCCCCAGTCTTCCTCCAGACTCTGGCACCTTGATTTCCGAATGACATGCAAAATTTGCTTTCATCCGAAAAAAGTACTTTGGACCACTGAGCAACAGTCCAGTGCTGCTTCTCTGTAGCCCAGGTCAGGCACTTCTGCCGCTGTTTCTGGTTCAAAAGTGGCTTGACCTGGGGAATGCGGCACCTGTAGCCCATTTCCTGCACACGCCTGTGCACGGTGGCTCTGGATGTTTCTACTCCAGACTCAGTCCACTGCTTCCGCAGGTCCCCCAAGGTCTGGAATCAGCCCTTCTCCACAATCCTCCTCAGGGTCCGATCACCTCTTCTCGTTGTGCAGCGTTTTCTGCCACACTTTTCCCTTCCCACAGACTTCCCACTGAGGTGCCTTGATACAGCACTCTGGGAACAGCCTATTAGTTCAGCAATTTCTTTCTGTGTCTTACCCTCTTGCTTGAGGGTGTCAATGATGGCCTTCTGGACAGCAGTCAGGTCGGCAGTCTTACCCATGATTGTGGTTTTGAGTAATGAACAAGGCTGGGAGTTTTTAAAAGCCTCAAGAATCTTTTGCAGGTGTTTAGAGTTACGTCGTTGATTCAGATGTTAGGTTAATAGCTTGTTTAGAGAACCTTTTCATGATATGCTAATTTTTTGGGACAGGCATTTTGGGTTTTCATGAGCTGTATGCCATAATCATCAGTATTAAAACAATTAAAGACCTGAAATATTTCAGTTGGTGTGCAATGAATCTGAAATATATGAAAGTTTCATTTTTATCATTACATTATGAAAAATAATGACCTTTATCACAATATGCTAATTTTTTGAGAAGGACCTGTACATGTGGAAATTGGCAAAGATTGGTAACACTAGAAAACCCATGGCACAACCGTGTTTAGTCTGTAAACGCTGTCATTATATTTGAAATGAGTTGTGGAAAGACAGAGAAATTAACCTGATCGAATCCTAACCTGTACCAGTGAACAGATTTTTATGAAACTTTCAGGAAGTATTGCTACTTCATAATGATTTCAGTTGACATTTGCTGACAACTTAATTCACAAGTGGCCACAGTTGAACTTTGGCAATACAGAAATGGCTACAGCTTACTCAGATTGCAAAAAATGTGCTAAGACTTGCTGAGAGTTATCCATCCATCCATCCATCCATCCATCCATCCATCCTTTATCTTTACCCACTTCTTCCATTTTGGGTCACGGGGGTCGCCAGTGCCCATGTCCAGCAATCACTGTGCGAGGGGCGGGGTACACCCATAACAGGTCTCCAGTCCATCACAGGGACACATAGAGACAAACGAGACAAACAACCATTCACTCTCTCACTCACACCTAGGGACAATTTAGAGTTACCAATCAGCCTAACGTGCATGTTTTTGGTCTGTGGGAGGAAACCGGAGTACCTGGAGAAAACCCACGCATGCACGGAGAGAACATGCAAACTCCACACAGAAAGGCCCCCGGACCGGGATTTTGAGCTGGCAACCTTCTCGCTGAGATTCAACAACAGTTGCGCCACTGTGCTGCCTTAGCTGAGAGTCAACGTCACCAAATATTTTGAGTATTCACACATTTCTTGTGATATTAATACTCATGCAGCATGCATTCATTCAAAATTTGCTAGTCTCTTAAGTGCCTCCCGTAACACACACGCACACACACACACACACACACACACACACACACACACACACACACACACACACACACACACACACACACACACACACACACACACACACACACATATATATATATATATATATATATATATATACATACATATATGTATATATATATATATATATATACTTACTTACATTCCTCAGGGACATCGGCGTATTGCTTGTTTTTAATTAATTTTTTGCTGCCATGTTGTTTAAAAAAACAAACTCCCTAAAAATGTTTTACCTGTAAGTTTTTCTTTTCCATTCACTTACCCCATGTATTTTGGACCGGCTGAACTTGCACAAACATGTAAACAAATGATGTGCTGATAGGGCACGTACAAATTTAGCATAAAACTGCTGTGGTTTCTAACTGATTGCACTTTCTGGAAACTCTGAGGTCAGCAGGAAGTGGGGGAAATGACAACAAATGCAATGAGACAACTCAAAACTGAAAGAGCTGCAGCATTTGAACCTTGGATCAGTCAGAGGATGAACAGACAAGAAAAGAAAGAAGTTGATCAACTGACTGAAAACTGACATGGCTGTCGTTAAAGAACTGCTCCTGGATACTTTAAGAGAGCTGGTTGATGAAGAACTCAGGACGTTTCAGTGGTTTCTTTACAGCTCCGATTTTAAAGGGTATGGTCATATTCCAAGGTCTCGGGTTGATGGGTTAGATCGGGAGGGTACAGTGGACCTCTTGGTGCAGAGTTATAGTTACCATGAAGCTGTTACTGTCTCTGTGAACATCCTGGAAAAGATGAGACAAAAACTGTGGGCAGAAAAACTAAAAGAAAATTATAACCAAGGTAAGGCAACCTTTACCCTTTTCCAAAACCTGACTGCTTAGTTGGTGTGCATGCTTCATTTGAAACATGTAGGCTAAAGTATGTCTCTTTCTTTGTTTCTTTATCAGTTCCAAGTAATCAAGCAAGCAAAGGTAAGAAGATAACAGGAACGCATAGTCATGTTCACAAGTCCAAACTCATAAAGTGCAAACTCTTTTTTTCTTGAGCAGAAAGTGACTTCCAAGACATACAAGAGAGACTGAAATCCTCATTAAAGGAAAAGTGCCAAAACATCTACGAGGGAAATGCAGATGAAGGGGACACCATCTACCTGAAAAAAATCTACACGGAACTGAAAGTGATTGAAGGAGCCTGGGGGGGGCTAAGCGATGAGCGTGAGGCCAGACAACAAAAGTCCAAGCACATGGTGGCAGAGGAAGTTATAAAAGTGAGCTGCCTTTTCAAACCCAATCAAGAAAAGCGAATCAGAACAGTGCTTACCCAGGGTATACCAGGAATGGGTAAAACTGTCTGCGCACAAAAGTTTACACTGAGCTGGGCCGAAGGAGAGGAAAACCAGGACATCACCTTACTCTTCCCACTTCCTTTCAGAGATTTAAATCCCAACATTGGAGAGAAGGACTGTACGCTGATGCAGCTTCTCCATCAGTTTTTCCCTGAGATAAAACCTCTCGAGAAGCTAGGACAGGAAAGGAAAGTCCTCTTCATCTTTGATGGCCTCGACGAGACTCTTCTCCCTCTGAACTTCAAGCATAACAAAGTTTTGAGAGATGAGGCGGAGCCAGCCTCGCTTGATGTGTTGATTACAAACCTCATCGCAGGGGACTTGCTTGGTAACGCACTTGTCTGGATCACTTCCAGGCCTGCCGCAGCTAGTCGGATCCCTCGAAAGCACATTGACCGATGGACGGAGGTAAAGGGTTTCACTAATGATCAATGGGAAGAGTACTTTAGAAAGCGTTTGGATGACAAAAACTTCTATACCAAAATCATCAATCATGTGAGGTCATCAAGAAGCCTTTGCATCATGTGTCAAATACCTATTTTTTGCTGGATTACTGTTACATTGTTGAAGAAAATGCTACGTGACAATGCGACCCAAAGTATGCCCAACACCCTGACCGAGATGTACATTTACCTCCTTCTCTGCCAGACAGACCGCGCGACTGAAAGGCATTATCCCATGAAAGGCAACAATTTCTGTTTGAAGCTAGCAGAGCTTGCATTCCGTCATCTGGAAAAAGGTAAACTCATCTTCTACGAGGCTGACCTGCAGGAGTGTGGAATGGATGTCAACGAGGCGACCACCTACTCAGGTTTTTGCACAGAGGTCTTCAAAATGGAAGAAGGAAGGAGACGAAAAGTTTTTAGCTTCGTACACTTGACCATTCAAGAGTTTCTGGCAGCCGTGTATGTCCATTATTCATACATGCAAAACAAGGACAACGTTCTTCTAACTTCCCTAGAAAGAGTGTCTGCGAGACTACGAAGGAATCTGTTTTTAATTTTCATAAAGCTGCCATCGAAAAAGCTGTGAGAAGTCCGGATGGCCATTGGGACCTGTTTCTTCGCTTCCTTCTGGGACTTTCGCTGAAGTCCAACCAGGAGCTCATCTACAAAGTGCTGCACTTGGAGGTTGAAGGAGAGGCAGATGTCTTTAGAACCATACAATTTATTAAAGAGAAGATTGACAAAGAACCTGAATGCACGCTCAACTTGTTCCACTGTCTGGGCGAGCTCAAGGAGGAGTCTCTGGTGCAAGAGATCCAGAGCTTTGTAAGCTCTGGCAGGATCTCAGCCCAAACTCTATCACCAGCTCAGTGGTCCGCTCTAACGTTTGAGCTGATGACATCAGAGACAGTCGAAGAAGCGTTTGATCTGAAGAAGTATATAAGATCAGAGGAGGGGGTGGCAAAGCTATTGAATGTCATAACTTCCTCCACACGAGCTTTGTAAGGTGTTTTTCTTGCATGGTGACTTCCATTCTTTAATGGTGTCCATGTGGCATAAAGCCAGAGCACAGTCTTAATTTATAAATAAAGTGTCTTGCTTTGTCTTGTTTCATTCTTTAGGCTAAATTGTTGCAAACTCACTGAAAACTGCTGTGAACTGCTAGCCTCTGCGCTGAGCTCGACGTCCTCTGATTTGACTGCCCTGGACCTGAGTGACAACAAGCTGAAGGATTCTGGGGTGGCCCTGCTTTCTGTTGGCCTGACGAGTCCGCACTGCAAGCTGAAGAGTTTAAGGTATCGCAAGTGGTGAAGCCGTACTTCTAACATCAACAATCATCTACTATTTTGACACATGTCTGGATTTAAATATTTCTGACCATTTTAAGGGGGGAGGGGTTAATATCTTATATGTTGTGTTTGTAATTGGCTTCAGTTTAAACAAAGAGTTCAAGTCTGGCAGGACTAAGCAGCTAATAGCTAATCTGAATGTGACCAAGACCAAAGACCAGTGATGGCAGATGCTTGGGCAGGCGGGGGGGGGGGGGTACATGAGGTGGAATGAAACTATGTACACAGGGTCCCAGTTACATTCATCAAAATTACAAATTGCAAAGAAAAACAGTAATAAGATCTGAGACATGAACTAAGAAATACACTAAACTAAAAATACCCTAAGCACTACTAGTACAAAACAAGGCATCAAAACAACAGCAGCACGAGCACGAGTCTGTGGAGCAGATGAGGACGAATGAACACACAGCAGGAAATAAATCAGCAGCATGGGATCAGCAGCATGGATAGTCAGCAGCACATAACAACAATCAAAGTGGCATTACAGTGATTTTTCATCACAGTAATTTTCACAGTGATAATCCAGACTAGGGATTCATGAGTCTAACAGCCTCAGAGTAGAAGCTTGTAGCAATAACAAAAGGTGAGATGGAGGAAGAAGGGTGACACCTTTTCCATCTCCACTCCACTACATTTCTTTTATTTATTTTTCATTCATTAAAGAGGGACACCAGCTGGTCAGTTTATTGATCAACAACAACTTAATTAATATTTTCACCCTTTAATGATCAGAATCAGTCACTGAAGTAGAATCTGTTAATTACAGGGAGTTCTATACCAGAACATATGAATATTCATCCAAATGAAGAGGCCAAAGTTGTCTTTGAAGTTTTATTACAGAAATAATCAAACTAAAAATCAGCAACAATAATAATGAATCAGTCAAGGCTTAATTCTCTTATCTAAGGCAAAATTCACCCTTTGCGCAGGAATTATTTCAGTTTTATACGCGCATGAATTTAGACAAAGTTTGACAATTTTAATAAATAATTTACTCTGAATTTTGGTTGAAAGGAGTTATTTAATGTGATCAGATAAAGTCATTTATTATCACTGCAAGCCAGGAATTGATTTATCCAGTTGCATCAGCTAAAAACAGCATAACCAGAGGCATCATGTCACCTGTTTCTGCTCCTTACTGGGTCAGTGTTGAGGGCATCACTCGTCTTTCAAGGGATCTGCTGGTGGATCAGACCAGGGTACACCATGAAGAGGACTTGCTGGGAAATGCCCAAAGGTACAGTGCCTTGCGAAAGTATTCGGCCCCCTTGAACTTTTGAACCTTTTGCCACATTTCCTGCTTCAAACATAAAGATCCATCCATTATCTTTACCCGCTTATTCCATTTTGGGTCACGGGGGTCGCTGGTGCCCATGTCCAGCAATCACTGTGTGAGGTGGGGTACACCCTGGACGGGTCTCCAGTCCATCACAGGGACACATAGAGACAAACGAGACAAACAACCATTCACTCTCTCACTCACACCTAGGGACAATTTAGAGTTACCAATCAGCCTAACTTGCATGTTTTTGGTCTGTGGGAGGAAACCGGAGTACCCGGAGAAAACCCACGCATGCACGGAGAGAACATGCAAACTCCACCCAGAAAGGCCCCTGGACCGGGGTTTGAACCAAGGACCTGCTCGCTGAGAGGCAGCATTCCAACACCTGTATACGTTTATTTGTGAACAGCAGTCTTCAGCTCTTTCCACAGATTCTCGATTGGATTCAGGTCTGGACTTTGACTTGGCCATTCCAACACCTGGATACGTTTATTTGTGAACCATTCCATTGTAGATGTGTCTTTATGTTTTGGATCATTGTCTTGTTGGAAGATAAATCTCCGTCCCAGTCTCAGGTCTCTTGCAGACTCAAACAGGTTTTCTTCCAGAATGGTCCTGTATTTGGCCCCATCCATCTTCCCATCAATTCTGACCATCTTCCCTGTCCCTGCTGATGAAAAGCAGGCCAAAACCATGATGCTGCCACCACCATGTTTGACAGTGGGGATGGTGTGTTCAGGGTGATGAGCTGTGTTGCTTTTATGCCAAACATATTGTTTTGCATTGTGGCCAAACATTTTGATTTTGGTTTCATGTGACCAGAGCACCTTCTTCCACATGTTTGGTGTGTCTCCCAGGTGCTTGTGACAAACTTTAAACACTTTTTATGGATATCTTTGAGAAATGGCTTTCTTCTTGCCACTCTTCCATAAAGGCCAGATTTGTGCAGTGTACGACTGATTGTTGTCCTATGGACAGACTCTCCCACCTCAGCTGTAGATCTCTGCAGTTCATCCAGAGTGATCATGGGCCTCTTGGCTGCATCTCTGATCAGTCTTCTCCTTGTTCGAGATGAAAGTTTAGAGGGACGGCCGGGTCTTGGTAGATTTGCAGTGGTCTGATACTCCTTCCATTTCAATATGATTGCTTGCACAGTGCTCCTTGGGATGTTTAAAGCTTGGGAAATCTTTTTGTATCCAAATCCGGCTTTAAACTTCTCTACAACAGTATCTCGGACCTGCCTGGTGTGTTCCTTGGTCTTCATGATGCTCTCTGCACTTTGAACAGAACCCTGAGACCATCACAGAGCAGGTGCATTTATACGGAGACTTGATTACACACAGGTGGTTTCTATTTATCATCATCAGTCATTTGGGACAACATTGGATCATTCATAGATCCTCACTGAACTTCTGGAGTGAGTTTGCTGCACTGAAAGTAAAGGGGCCCAATAATATTGCACGCCCCACTTTTTAGTTTTTTATTTGTTAAAAAAGTTTGACACATCCAATAAATTTCATTCCACTTCACGATTGTGTCCCACTTGTTGTTGATTCTTCACAAAAAATTAAAATTTTATATCTTTATGTTTGAAGCCTGAAAAGTGGCAAAAGGTTAAAAAGTTCAAGGGGGCCGAATACTTTCACAAGGCACTGTAGCTGAGCGTGCTGGCTCCATCCTCCAGCTGTCCATCACTAGCGTTAGCAACATTCTCCATAGATGTGGAAGGATGGCAGTAGACTTGATCCTTCTTCCAAATTATTGTTTATTTGTTGGTTGCAGTCTGCCTCCTTCTCTGTTTCCATTCTAGGCAATTTGGGCAATAGAAAACGGTCCATTTTTGCATTTCGTGCACTTTTCAAATGTTTAACGAACTTTCAGTAACTTGAATTTTCACTTGTGGCTCGGAGGTTCATTTCCAGTTGCGAGATCAGATTTTTTAAAACTCAATATAATCAATAATTTTTTTTTTTAATTAGTTGTGTTTTGCAAGGAAAATACCACAACAACCCCATATTAAAAAATATTAACTCAGATTGAAAAGAAAATAATCTGATATTTTCTTGGGGTGCCGTGACTTTTCCAGGGGGAGCTATAGCACCCCCTAGCTCCCCCCTGGAGCCGCCTATGCCAAAGAGGATTGTTGTCATCTTTAAAAAAAATAGTCTGTAAAATTTATACCCATTGATTTTGCAGCTGCTGCTATTGCACTTGCAAAACAGTGCAAAAACTTTTTTAGAATAACTGTGAAATGATAAACCAATGGCAATGTAAATGTGTTAAAAAAGCATTCGCTGTATGAAATTTTGAAGATTTGAGTTGTTTTATGACAGAAAAATCTTTTGGAAGTGAGATTTTGCCGCCTGAAAACAACTCAAAACTTCCTTTATCGTTCATCCAAGTCCAAATTCTTAAACTTTTACATCCCCATCAATTGTCCAATACAGGGAAGTTATGGCAGCTGTATTAAAAACGTTCTGCTAGAATCGACTCCAGCCTGAAGTGAAAGTGTTACACCTCGCTGCTACTTGCACTTGAAAAAAAACCCGCATAACTTTTTATAAATGCCCACGTACAAAGAAACTGACAACCGTGTAAATGTTTATGCAACAGTATTCTCAAAAAAACAATTGAAAACATTTTAAACTGGAGTTATTTTTAGATATAATACTTAGGTCTTAGCTGTTAGCTTGTCAGGCCATAACTCTATATTTATTAATCCGACTTGAATGCAGCTTGCTCTATACTTTGCATCTGGACAGTACAAGTAGGAGAGCACTCTTATTTTTTCCAGATTGCATAAGTGTGGATTGAAGGGGGGATGCTGTGAGGCTCTAGCTGTTGCTGTCAGCTCAGAATCAACACAGCTAAAAGAGCTGGACCTGAGCGGGAATGACTTCCAGGGAACAGCAGTGAAGGCCCTGAGTGTTGGACTGAGCAGCCGCCACTGTAAGCTGGAAACACTGAGGTTAGACCTGCTTTCTCCGGACAAATTTCACCTTTGCTTTAATCTCAGTTTAGTTGCAACATATATATTGTTAATTGGCACGTTGAATTCTTTGCGCAGAGTGAATCAGTGCAAGCTGAGAGAGAGTTCCTGCGAGTCTTTGGCTTCAGTTTGGCTCTCAGGTCCGTCTCGGCTGAAATCTCTTGACCTGAGTACCAACAACGTGAAGGACGCTGGTGTGTCTCTGCTTACTGCTGGTCTGACGAGTCCACACTGTGAACTAGAAACACTCAGGTCAGTTTGTTCTCTGTACAAAATGGACTATCCAAACCAATATACTGGTAGTTACTGTTAGTTTTAAGGCTAAATTTTAAGATGTGACTGGAATTCAGAGGAAAAAAACAACTTATATGTATTTTTTAGTTTGAGGCTTTATTTTGCAATTGTGGAAATGCTGATTAGGCATAAAATAGTTTTTATCTTTTAATAACTTTAAACAGTTGATTATCATTTGTATCACTGAGTCCCAACTGGCTTACTTTAACACGTGTGTTGGTGTTAGCCAGGCCGGCGTTGACTTACGTTCTTCAGCTCTCTGTTCATTTTAGAACTGATTTTAAAGGTTTATAGTTGACCTATGAGGACCTGAATGGACAGACTTCTGTGGACCTGTCTGACCTCGTGCTGTGCCTCCAGATCCCTTAGATCTAGTGATCCTTTGCTTTTAATTGTTCCAAGCTGGTCCATAGAGGCGATCGGTCTTTAGTTGACCTGAGGTCCAGGATGGTCCATAGAGAGATGATCAGGTTTTTACTTGTCCCAAGGTCCAGGCTGGCCTACAGAGGTGATTGGGTCTTTAGTTGTCCCAAGGTCCAAGTTGGTCTACAGGAGGGATTGGGTCTTTAATCATCCTGAGATCCAAGCTGGTCCACAGAGGCGATCAGGTCTTTAGTTTTCCAGAGGTCCAGGCTGGTCCATTGAGAGACGATCATGCCTTTAGTTGTCCCGAGATCCAAGCTGGTCCACAGAGGTGATTGGGTCTTTAGTTTTCCCGAGGTCCAGGCTGGTCCACAGAGGTGATTGGGTCTTTTCAGTTGTAGCTTCTAAACTGGGGAACCAGCTGCTCCTTCATGTCAGATAGACTTCAACTCTTGCTGTTTAAGTTCCATCTGAAAACCTTCCACTCACTGGCTTTCAATACAACATAAGATACATTTTGTTGGTCTTAGTTGCAAGTCTTATAATATTGTTAACTTTTTATGGTCTCTTATATTTGGTATTGTGTTTTTACTGTTTACTGTTTTGTGTTCAGCACTTTTGCTTTTTTTTCTTTAAATGTGCTTTATAGATAAGTCTGATGTGAAGTGATTTGATACATAGCTTTAGTGACAGAAATGAACACTAAAGAATGACATAGGTATTGACATTGGACTTGGTTCTTTCTTCAAAGAACTAACAGTCACTATGCCCCTTTGCTCTAACAATGTTGTTGATATATCCTCATGTTAGATACAGTTGAAAAATATAGCATTTAGATTTGCCGCCCTCTCACATGCCACCCTACAAGGCAACCTGAAACTGTCAGACCTCAATGACCTGAAAGACGGTCAGTGAAACCTTTGAATGATGTTTTTAACCATTGTCTTTGTTTTAATCCACCCATCATAATCTTTGCCCGCTTCTTCCTTAATGAGTTGCTGGGGTCGCCGGTGTCCATGTCCAGCAGTCGCTGTGTGAGAGGCGAGGTACACCCTGGACAGGTCTCCAGTCCATCACAAGGACAAATTGAGACAAACGAGACAACCATTCACTCTCTCACTCACACCTAGGTACAATTTAGTTACCAATCAGCCTAGCATGCATGATTTTGGTCTGTGGGAGGAAACTGGAGTACCCGGAGAAAACCCACGCATGCACGGAGAGAACATGCAAACTCCACCCAGAAAGCTGCCAGACCAGGACTCAATTCTGCAACCTCCTCACTGAGAGGTCACAATGATGATAAGAAAATCACATACAGGTGCTGGTCATAAAATTAGAATATCATGAAAAAGTTGATTTATTTCAGTCATTCCCTTCAAAAAGTGAAACTTGTATATTATATTCATTCATTACACACAGTCTGATATATTTAAAATGTTTATTTCTTTTAATGTTGATGTTTATAACTGACAACTAATGAAAATCCCAAATTCAGTATCTCAGAAAATTATAATATTGTAAAAAGTTCAATATTGAAGACACCTGGTGCCAAACTCTGATCAGATAGTTTACTCAAAACACTTGCAAAGGCCTTTAAATGGTCTCCCAGTCTAGTTCTGTAGGTACACAATCATGGGGAAGACTGCTGACTTGACAGTTGTCCTAAATACGACCATTGACACCTTGTACAGGGAGGGAAAGCCACAAAACATCATTGCTTAAGAGACTGGCTGTTCACAGAGCTCTGTGTCCAAGCACATTAATGGAGAAGCAAAGGGAAGGAAACGAACAATGTGGTAGAAAAAGTGTGTACAAGAAATAGGGATAACCACACCTTTGAGAGGACAGTGAAACAAAGCCCATTCCCAAATGTGGGGGAGATTCACAAAGAGTGGCCTGCAGCTGGAGTCAGTGCTTCAAGAACCACCACGCACAGACGTATGCAAGACATGGGTTTCAGTTGACGCATTCCTTGTGTCAAGCCACTCTTGAACCAGGGACAGTGTCAGAAGCGTCTCGCCTGTGCTAAAGACAAAAAGGACCGGACTGCTGCTGAGTGGTCCCAAAGTTATGTTCTTTGATCAAAGTAAACTTTGCATTTCCTTTGGAAATCACGGTCCCAGAGTCTGGAGGAAGAGAGGAGAGGCACAGAATCCACATTGATTTAGGTCCAGTGTCAAGTTTCCACAGTCAGTGATGGTTTGGGGTGCCATGTCATCTGCTGGTGTTGGTCCACTGTATTTTCTGAGGTCTAAGGTCAACGCAGCTGTCAACCAGCAAGTTTTAGAGACTTCATGCTTCCTGCTGCTGACCAACTTTATGGAGATGCAGATTTCTTTTTCCAACAGGACTTGGCACCTGCACACGGTGCCAAAGTTACCAGTACCTGGTTTAAGGACCAGGGTATTCCTGTTCTTAATTGGCCAGTAAACTTGCCTGACCTTAACCCCATAGAAAATCTATAGGTATGGTGAAGAGGAAGATGTGATACACCAGACCCAACAATTCAGAAGAACTGAAGGCCACTATCAGAGTAACCTGGGCTCTCATAACACCTGAGCAGTGACACAGACTGATCGACTCCATGCCACGCTGCATTGCTGCAGTAATCCAGGCAAAAGGAGCCCCAACTAAGTTTTGATGCTGTACATGTTCATACTTTTCATGTTCATACTACTCAGTTGGCCAACATTTTTAAAAATCACTTTTTTATTGGTCTTAAGTAATATTCTAATTTTCTGAGATACTGAATTTGGGGTTTTCATTAGTTGTCAGTTATAATCCTCAACGTTAAAAGAAATAAACATTTGACATATATCAGTCTGTGTGTAATGAATGAATATAATATACAAGTTTCACTTTTTGAATGGAATTACTGAAATAAATAAACTTTTTCATGATATTCTAATTTTATGACCAATACCTGTATATTAGATGGATGCAGGTTTGTCTTTAAAGTATAATCTAACAGCAATATAAACATTTTGAGGGTTTTTGCTTGATTTGTTTCATTTCTTCCACTTAGACTCAGCTGGTGTAGCCTGACCCAGAAATCCTGCAGTCACATCGGCTCAGCACTCAGCTCAGCTTCTGGTAAGCTCAGGGAGCTGGACTTGAGTGGAAACAGTCTGCAGGGTCCAGGTTTTGAGCTGCTGTGCTCTGGACTCAAAAATCAGCACTGCAAACTGGAAATTTTAAGGTGAGGTCACGCGGGTTTAGCAGACAAATTGATGATTGTTGAGCAGTTTAGATTATTGTAATGATGTAGTTCTTTGACATTGTACTGCAGACATTTTCTTTAAAACAATCGTGCACTACATTTATCATGCAGTCTTAAACTTTGTGGGGTTTGATCAGTATAACTCATCAGGATAAATCATGCTTATTTGCAGATTAAACGATTGCAATCTCCAAGAATGCTGTGCTGATATTGCTTTAGTCCTGAGCACCAAGAAGTCTCAGCTGAAGGAGTTGGATCTGAGTGGGAATGATCTGGAGGATTTGGAGGTGGAGCTGCTCTCAGCTGGATTAGGAAATCCACACTGTACTCTGGAAACTTTGGGGTAAACGTCAAGAAAGAATTAGGAATGATCTTACGTATACACTGCACAGTAGTCAGTAAATTAGAGAATGGAATGTGGTGTAGATAACACATGTCAAACATGCAGGTTGTCATTCTGCGGCATCACAGTTAAAGGCTGCACTCATCTGGCTTCAGCACTGAGCTCGTCCCATCTGAGGCAGCTGGACCTCAGCTACAACTACCTGCAGGACTCTGGAGTGAAGCTGATATCTGCTCATCTGGACGATACTCTCTGTAAACTGCAACAGCTCAGGTAGTGCTACTGCTTTTAGTTTTTATTTGTAGTGAGTGGTCGGGCTTTAGGGTTGTTAAAACTACCCTTCATTTAGAATGCAGTATTCATTCAACCTTTATTTATACAGGTTAGTCTCATTGAGCCCCGAGGACTCATTTACAAGTGAGACCTGATTTTAACAAAGAGTGACGACAACAGTAGACAATCATAAAAAGCATAAAAATTAAGAATAACAAGTGAAAGAAAATGGTATTAAAAATGAAACAAAAACGGCTAGGTTGTAAGGCGATGTAGAAAACTAAAAACAGGAACATGTCTGCATTGGTTTTTGCCAGGAACGTAGCAGATATTTGAAGCCTCTTAGAGAGGTCAAGGTCGAGAGCTTCAGGTCTTTTTGCAAGATATTCCAGGAAACAGGAGCGGAATAGAAGGCACTTTCACCAAGTTCAGTCCTCACTGAGGGAATGGGATGGCTAAAAGAAATAGGTAATAAAAAACAGCTAGATTCTAAGGCGAATGTAGAAAACTAAAAACAGGAACATGTCTGCATTGATCCCTGCCAAGAGTCCAACAGGTTCTTAAAGCCACTTAGAGAGGTCAAGGTCGAGAGCTTCAATTGTTTTTGTAAGGTATTCCAGGAAACAAGAGCGGAGTAGGAGAAGGCCCTTTTGCCTAGTTCAGTCCTCATTGTGGGAACACTGCAGGTAATAATGTCCTGAGAGCACACGCCGTAGCTGCACTCACGCAGAGACATGTAGGAGGAGATGTATGAAGGCAGCAGACCAAGAATTGATTTAAAGATGAAAATGTACATGTGTCTACGTGAAGTTAATGATGTCCAGTTAACCAGTGAATACAGGGTACAGTGGTGGGTACAGTAGTTACAGCCAGTTATGAATCTTAGTGCACCATGATAGACAGCATCCAACATCTGCAGGGTGTTTGTAGGAGCGTTCATGTAAATAATGTCACTGTAATCAATGGAGGGAAGGAAAGTTGCAGTTACAAGGAATTTCCTAGCATTCAGAGTTAGACAGGATCTATTTCTGAAAAAGAAACCCAATTTAACTTTCAGTTTCCTTACTAGGTTTTCCACATGGAGCTTAAAAGAGCGATGCAAGTCGACCAAGATACCCAAATATTTGTAGGAATCGACAAACTCAATAGGAGCACCATTCAAGGATAAAATCGAAGGAAGAACTGCGGGGACCGACTTCAGTATGTTTTTGCAAATGGAGACAAGGCTGAAATGTTTACAAATATGAAAGGAGTCCCCCAAGGCTCAAATCTAGTCCCCAATTTATTTTTGTTTTATTTTAATGACATTGGAATGAATACGATAGCTGAAGTGCACCTTTACGCAGATGACACCATATTTACTCAGCTGAGCCTGCATTAAGCCAGGCTGTTGAGCTTCCATTTTACTTTCAGCAGCTGCTGCAGCAAAATGAGATCCAAAGCTAGTGCTTGATGTGAATAAAGTCAAATAAATTAAGTTTTCCAGAACTCACTCTCAGACAAGATCCTAAATAATATTGGCATTTCTACCCTACAGGGAGACCTTAACGAAAGGGTATACCTACAGATATTTGGATGGATGGTACTGAGATTTAATACAAAATAAAAAGAAGACCTGAAGGGTTAAAAAAAAAAAAGGCCTGTATTAAATATTCAGTCAGAAAAATAATTTATTCGCACAACGTTTTTGATGATGGTGACATGATTTATAATTATTCTCTTCCTGCACACTTCAATGCTTTGATTCTGTAAATCAGAGTTCTTATGTACTCTCTTTAAGTCTAAGGAGACAACAGCAACAACATATATTTGTATGTGCAAAGCTATACTGAGTAAACTTGCTGCCTGTTTGTGTAAATCTTTAATATTTTTAAGCTCTGATATAAGCTGCGGTCCTCCAGTTGGCTCTTTAGATTTTCTTGGACTTGTTTTCTGAAATTGTTTGAAATGTGTTGTTTTGAACATTAGTAATGGAAAAATCTTGATATTAAACTAAAATTTTATGCTTTTGTATTTTTTTTGGGGGGGGCGTATAAAACTCTGAATAAGTTATTGTTAACTAAAAAACTGAACGGTTATTATTAAATTGTGTGTTTTTATTATTTTTTTTTGTTTAGGTATATTGCCGTAATTATAATTTATACCATGTAACTTTGTAATAGTATGCAACTTTTACCAAGTCTCTACCAACTATAGACATTTCCTTGCTAAATAAAGATTAAATATAAAAATAAACTAAACCATAAAGATAGAGAAAAAAGTAGCCAAACAAGTTAATAATATTAGGTAGTTAAAAAAATGGAAACAGTAAAAGCATATTTCTTGCTCACATGAGAATTGTTCAAACACACACCATCTCCAACAGTTTAAAATTTTATTTATAATTTAGTTCCCATTTTTTGGATCAGTTTTGCTCAGTTTGGCTGCTGACAAAATAGAAAAGTTTTGTTGCACATACGAGAAACCGATAATGAAAGTAAAATAAAACGAGCTCTCTGCTGACTTTTTAAGTTAAATTTCACTTTATGGTGATTCTGTTTTATTTACAGTAAATGTCTAAAATATGTACGATTTGGAATCAAACTCTTTAATTCAGAGTTAAATATTATTAATACTTTGTATTTTTTTCCTTCTCTTTTTTACAGGGCAGATCCAAATGCAGAGTGTTTCCTGAAATCAAAGCTGAAAAACTGTAAGTTTCTTATAGTACATGTTCTGTTATAGTTACTCATTTTAAAGAGATATTTCAGCCATTTTCAAATGGTTCTTTATGCTGGTTGAAATAGTTGTTAGCTCCCTTGTTCTCTAAGACTTAAGCTTCAAAGTGAAGCAATCTATGACAGGTAAGATAGTTGTCCATATCTTTTACACATCAAATCAGATTGTTTGTAAAACGCAGCTTGAAGTTGGCCTTTTTATATTTTTTTATTGTTTTTCTCTCTTTTATGAAAAATTCCTTTTGTGAATTTGTTGTCATTTGTAGCTTATTTTCAAATAATTTTCTTCACAATTACTTACTACCTTAAAAATAATTCACTTCATGAAGTTCAACTGATGGCCTGGCTAGTCTCAAAGGATTACCGTATTTTTCAGACTTAAAATCCTTTAATTTTCTCAAAAATCGACAGGGAGCCTTAATCTGGTGCGCCTTATGGATTAATTCTGGTTGCGCTTACTGACCTCGAGCTGATTTTATGTGGTAAACGGCGCTCAAATACCTGTCAAAATGAACTTGTTTTGCTTAATGCGCCTTAAAATTCAGTGCGCCTTATAGTCCAAAAAATACGGTACCAGTCTTTTCTAATCATGTTTCTGACCAGTCACATCACACCTCTTCCACACCAGGCTTTCATGCAGGTTTAATGCACAGTTTGTACCAGTGTTTTCCTCTGATATGCACATTTTAGATGTTTGCTGGCTCACTTGAACAAAGTGAGTTGGTCTATTCATTCCACTGATCTACATTCAGCCACAGTTTGGTTTAAAACAACTAGTTCTTTGACAGTTTCTTCAGTATGGAGTAGTTTATGCTGTTGTTTTGCTCTTTATCCAACAGATGGCAGTATATTAAACCAAAGTCTGTGGGTTTTTCTTCCAGATTCCTGCACCTTGACATTCAACACAAACACAGCTGCCAAGTCTCTGTTTCTGCATGATGGGGGGAAGCAGGTTACATGGGTCAGAGAGATCCAGCCGTACCCCAATCACCCCGAGAGGTTTGAAAGTGTCTCCCAGGTCCTTTGTCAGCAAGCCCTCACCCAGTGCCACTACTGGGAAGTGGAGTGGCGTGGGCGCTGGGTGGACATCGCCGTCGCCATGAGTGGAATTCGCCGCAGGGCGAGTTCTCACATCTGTGCGTATGGCAAAACTGATCAGTCCTGGTGTCTGTTCTGTACTGAGGATTATTACAGCGTTCAGCACGACAACCAGTCTGTGGAAATCCCTTCCCCTCCATCTCGCTCACAGAGGGTTGGAGTTTACCTGGACTGGCCGGGTGGAACCCTGTCGTTCTACAGTGTGCTCTCTGGGAGCCTCAGACACCTTCATACCGTCTACAACAACTTCTCTGAGCCACTCTACCCCGGCTTTGGGATGGAGGAGGATGACTGCTCGGTCATTCTTTGCACAATGTAGGACATGAGAGAACTAGTTTCTGTCTGCATTTGTGGAAAAACATGATAAATTATTAATCAAAGTAGATCTGAAGTATTTTGCTTTCCTTTTACTATGAAATTAAATAAAACTATACATAACTAGTTTGTGGTAAACAAAGAGACTTTATCACAAAGGACATTTGTGAGATTGACTCACATCATGAACAGCTTAGGAATGAGTTACACGATAGGGATGGTCAATTTAAGCAAAAACACTTTAATTTGTCTAAGATCAGAGGTGGGATTTACAGCTGTTAGAAGGAGCTATCTTGTTTGTCTGTTTCTTTCAAAGAGCCGTTCAAAACACTGGCTCATATTTATATTAACTTTTCTAAAGAAGCCAGCCTAAGATAATGTCACAACTCTGATTACTTTATAATAACTAATATAACGCAACAATAAACTGTATAGAAGAAGAGAAAACTGTCTGCTGCTGAGTTCACCTGTGACCATTTCAACTATATTATCCTTTCAAAATAAAGCACAATGGCAGAAATAGTTGTTGGGACTGAGTTATTCTTCTTTTTTTGGGGACAGCTGTGGCTGAGTGGTTAGAGCAGTCATCCTCCAATGCAAGAGTCAGGGGTTCGATTCCACCAGCAGTCACATGCCGAAGTGTCCCTGGGCAAGACACCGAACCCCTCATTTGTAAGGTTCTGTCCCAATCCTGTTTTTGTGCACTAGTTAATGTCTCCCTGCTCCCAGTTCTGTTTCTGTTCACATAGTTTATTATTCTCTGTCCTGTTTCTGTGCATTTAGTTAATGATTCTATGCTCCGTTCCTGTTAATTACTCTCCAGGTGTTTCGTATTAGTTTAATTGGTGGCTCACCTTTATATTCTGAGCTTTCCTGCGTCTCAGGCAGGGGAGCATTAAGTGTTTTGCCAGCACCTTCACAGTCGGCTCCTAGCGTCCTGGTCCCTTGGTTATTCCTCGAGTCGTGAGTAATATTGCTGCCTTGTCAGCACCTCATGTTTGTTGTCGCCTTACGAGTTGTATCGCTGCCCTGCCAGCACTTTGTTTGTCTTCACCTGTTTGTAAATTAAACACTTTTTGACTTCAGTGGAGTTTTGTTTGCATTTGGATCTCAACCTCCACCCGATCGTAACATAATACTCCCCTCCCTGAGACCTAGCAAGCAGCTCCCCATTTTTGAATGTTTTTCAAAGAAAGCAGAAAGGACTGTGCATCGAGGGAGAAAAGCGTGTGACAGGAGATCGCCTCTCTTTTACCTGGCACACTCCATGACGGTTTCCACGTCCCCGATGTTTCCTGCTCTTGAGATGGCGGACCAGGGTCCTGATTTATCACCGTTGGAAGATAAGGTGACTCTTCCACACTTCCGTGGTATAATAACCCTTCTCCATATTACCCCTGTGGACAGGGTCAAAGCCAGGAGGGCCCTCATCAACGAGGTACTGAGAATCTGGGCAGGCTTCCCTGAGTTCTTCCGCACACCTGCAGACTGGGAGATCCTCGCCTAAACACAGAGGAAAAGTCTGAGATTGACCCCTCTGAGTACCTGTCCTCAGAGGGACCTACGTCCTCGGTCGCTTCCATTGTCCCTGTGCTGGCAGCTCCTCCTGTGGTCTCCATGCTAGCCACTGCTGCTTCTCTTCTGGTTCCTGTTTCTGCCACCGCTGCCACCCATCCCGAGGTCAACGCGTCAGCCGCCGCTTTTCCTGTGGCTCCTGCATCAGCAGCTGCTGCCGCCCCTGTGGTTTCTGCAGCTGCTGCCACTCCTGTGGTTCCTGCACCAGCTGCCGCTGTCGCTCCTCTGTCAAACGCAGCTGCCGCTCTTGTGGTCACCACGTTGTCTGCCTGCCCTGCTCCTCGCCACCATAGAAGAAAAGGCCAATGTGGCTCTCCAGCCCTCTCCCTGCATAAGTTGGACAACTCTGCCTCTGAGGTCCCCAGCGCTGATCCGGCTCTCCTGTTCTCGATGCCCGCTTCGGCTACCCCGGACTCGTCGACTGCAGACCCCTCGCCGGACTCGTCAGCTGCCAATGTCCCGTCTGTTTCCACAGCTGCCAACGACCTGTCTGTCCCCGCAGCTATCCACAACCCTCCTGTCCACGCAGCTGCCTATGTCCGGTCCAGCAACTGCTAAGCCCACCATTAATGGTCCTATTCCATACTTCCCCAAACTTTAGTCCCCCTATGGACGGTCCTCGAGACGCCCGCTCGAACTTGACCTGTGGTATGGATGGTCTCAGGGACGTCCACTTGAACTCCTGTTTTGCATGTACTCAGGGCTGCTCCTAGGTTGTTTGTTTTGGTGCCCTCTGACCTTTAGGTGTTTTCCCCCATCACCCACCCAAGTTGGGTTGGTGTTTTGTCAGGAGCCGTTTAGGAGAGAGGGGGATACTGTAAGGCTCTGTCCCAGTCCTGTTTTTGTGCACTAGTTAATGTCTCCCTGCTCTGGTTCTGTTCCTGTGTACATAGGTTATTATTCTGTCCTGTTTCTGTGCATTTAGTTAATGATTCTATGCTCCGTTCCTGTTAATTGCTCTCCAGGTGTTACAAATTTGTTCAATTGGTGGCTCACCTTTTATATTCTGAGCTCTCTGCCACTCAGGCAGGGGAGCATTAAGTGTTTTGCCTACATCTTCACGGTCAGCTGCTAGTGTCCTGGTCCCTTGGCTAGATCGATCGATCGATCTATCTATCTATCTATCTATCTATCTATCTATCTATCTATCTATCTATCTATCTATCTATCTATCTATCTATCTATCTATCTATCTATCTATCTATCTATCTATCTATCTATCTATCTATCTATCTATCTATCTATCTATC